ATGAAAATAACAAAGATATCTACCTCATAGGCTGGTGGCGAGTGTTGAATGAAATTATGTAAAGCACGTAAAACAATGCCTAGGGTGTAGTTTTACTTAGTAAGCTTTCCAACATTTAGAATAGTGCATTCGGTCAATATTGGCACTCAGTAACTATTGTGGAATGAATGACATGTACATGAAACTTTATTCTGAAAAGGGAACAAGGCTATCTTTCATATAAGGCACAAAAACCTTAGCCACTGCCCCATGTGACAGCAGTAGACGTTCACGAGACTCTGAATTACGGCCCAGTGGACTTAAGGCAATAGTTTGATGTAGCTCTGGACATTCAACCATCTTCCCATGATTTCCCATTTGACTTCTAGATTCATGGTTGTTTAGAGGGGGCAGGCATGATTCATGGATCTCATGTACTTAACCATTCAGTCATCTACCTTACCACGCCAAGTACTTACAGTGTTGGAAACAGACTGCTTTCAAGGATGTGAAGATATTTGAAAAATCTAGGGAACAGTAAACCTTTCATTATTCTTTTTTTCTTCTGATAATCTGATGGGCCCACTCTCATATCTAAATATTCTGATTCTCAGAGGATCCCTAACTCAACTGCAAAACAGTTAAGTCTTGTTCTGGCTTGAACAAATTCCATGAACTTTTGTTTCCACATGGAACAGAGCTTTTCTTAAAAATGCACACGCTATGCATAGCTTTCAGGGGCCTCCAGTAAATTGTCTTCGTTAAGTGTTCCTTCTTCATGTTTTTAAGGTGTCATGCTTAATGACAAAAGTAGATAGAAATTCAGANCAAAACAACAGCAACTTGTCTGTTCCCCTTCCCCCAATTTCCCAGCACTGTTCCCATCCCCCCAATTCCCCAATAAAAATCTTTAAAAAAAAATGAATTTTCCCACAGGAAATGTGTTATAAAATTCAGCAAATTAATTCAAAGGCTATTGAGCACTTACTATGTGCCAGTTACTATTCCAGGCACTGAGGAAACTTCAGTGAACAAAACAGAGAAAAACCCTCGCCCTCACGGAGCTTGTTCTCGAGCAGTAAAGGTGACCTGCCCATAGGCCTGTCGATGGCTGAGATTCAGAGCCACCTGGCACTCAGATCCGATTACATCTCTGACCAGGAGCACGGTACACTTGGTTAGAAGCAGAAGGCCATCAGGCATTGGTACCAGTGTTTTACCACAAAGCCATGACGTTCATTGTACCAGAACACAAGGAGGATAAGTTATGATGTTCTAACAAGGTACTTGCACATCTTTAAAAATAAAATTAATGGCCGGCCGAGTGGCGCGTTGGTTAAGAACTGGCTTGGGACACTAGAGGGCCCTGGTTTGGATCTCACATATGAGGGCCAGTGACACTGCCCTCTATAGCTAAGATGCTGAACCACAGCTCAACCTGGAGCTGGGCTGCAGTGAGTCGCCGGTGACAGGCGTGGGCTGCAGCCCCTGCTGCAGTGGGTTGCCATGGGCTACCGTGTGTAGTCAGCAGTCAGCTTGAGCGGCCCTCAAGAACAAAAAGACAGCAACTTGTCTGTTCCCCTTCCCCCAATTCCCCAGCACTGTTCCCATCCCCCAATTCCCCAATAAAAAATAAATAAATAAATAAATAAAATTAAAATATTAGACATTCTGTGGCACTGAGATCTCATGTTCATCTTCTGAACCAACAGAAAATATCATGGCCACTCAAAAAACAAAAAAATGTTGGAAACCACAGTAAGGTTTTTGCTTTTACAAATGGAAATTAAAATAGAACTAAAGAAAATGTCATCATTTATAAAAATCTTCAAATATGGAATAAAAGAAACTTTTTTCTTCATTCCTAGAAAAAATCTTACTTATGTGTGCCTATAACCATACTCTTAAACTGCTGGTGGCATGGCCAACAAGATGATACCAGATCCATACAAGTTTCTCACTTGCCTGGGAAGGTATAAAGTTGGCTTGGTGAGCTCTCGTGACAGATAAAGGCCTTCACTGCATTCATGCTGTACTCAATATATAAAGTTCAGGTCAAAAGATTCTGAGTCATAGACTAGATTCATGGAACTTCTAACTAAAAAGGTCTGCAGTCAAAAGCATTTTCTACTTTATTTTGTAATGTGTAAAGAAAAT